ATTTGCCTGTAAGCAAAAACTGGTGGGATCATAAAATAGAGAAAGTCATAGAAAATGATAAAATTAAACTGCTCTGGGACTTCAGAATTCAAACAGACAAGCACCTGCAACATAACACCCCAGACTTAACAATTGTCAATAAGAAAGACAAAAAAGTCTGGATAGTGGACGTGGCAGTGCCTGGAGACAGCAGAATAGACGAGAAAGAACTGAAGAAGATAACAAAATACAGAGACCTACAAATAGAAATAGAAAGACTGTGGCAAAAGCAAGCAAAAGTAGTACCAATAGTAATAGGTGCCTTAGGTGCAATTCCAAAACAACTGGAGCACCACTTGAACACCATTGGCATTGACAAATTCGCTATTAGTCAATTGCAAAAGGCGGCCTTACTAGGAACTGCTTCCATCCTGCGATGATATCTGTAATACCATCAAACATCTAAATCCAGTCTGAACATCTGGCTGACTGTGCGATGTTCCATAATAATAATAATAATAATAATAATAATAATAATAATAATAATAATAATAATAATAATAATAATAATAATAATAATAATAATAATAATAATAATAATAATAATAATAATAGAGTTGGAAGAGACCTTGGAGGTTTTCTAGTCCAACCCCCTGTTCAGGCAGGAAACCCTAATCCATTTCAGACAAATGGTTGTCCAGTCTCTTCTTAAAAACGTCCAGTGTTGGAGCATTCACAACTTCTGGAGACAAGTTTTTCGTGATGGTCCCTCTGTTTGGTATACTGTCTATAGAGCCTCACCTACCTTTCTGGTCTGAAATCTTTCCTTCTGGACATGGAGCACAGTCATAACAACAAAATTTCTTCCCTTCCTTCTTCTTCTTCTGATAACCCGGTTGGCAATATTCACTACACACTGAATGAGGGATCATCTATCCAGAAAATAAAAGTCATTTAGAATCAAAATTTAGAATAAAAACTTACCCATAAATGTTCAATAAGCTGTTTTGTTCTATATTAGATCCCGAATTCAGGAGGGGGCAGGAATCAACACTTTCCTTATTTAAATGACTAAAGCCAAAAGTTTATCTTGATCAAGTTATAGCCTCTTGAACATACTGTTCACAGACTGAAAGTCTTAATTTTGTTTTAATAAGTTAGGAAAAGCTGCCAAATGCCTGATGAGGGAGTTGCATGATCTGCAATAATAATGTCCAACAACAACCATGTCCAACAATGCCCATTGCACAATGCCATAGTACAACAATATGCAACCCCTATACATTTTTGCAAAAAAAAAAATTGAAGATAGTAGTTGGTACTTTCCTTTCCATTCTGCTACATATCTGTGGGTTTGGTAGTTTTCTTTTTAGTCCTTTTTTTTTGTAAAACATCAAGCATAAAGAAAAATAAAGTCAAGGCAGAAAGCCAGGCACTAAATATGATGTTCTGAGATCAGTAGTATCCCAAATTGCCAGGAAATCATCCATTTCTTGCACTATTAAATGTTGGTTTCTACAAATTGTGTGAAGTGTTCCTGGTATATGAATTCATACATGAAAAGTGATGGATGAAACAAACTTCAGAGGCATCTTTCATTCTGAAGACATACTATTCTTTCTCTTGAAATAATGTAAAAAGTTATTTGGGGAAGTTATCAGTATCTACTCCTATTTCACATTTGTTCTTGGAGATGTCAGTTCATTAACAGGTTGTACATATTACTGTTATGTATCATTTTGATTACAGACACTATCTTCTATTGTTCTGTGTTCATATTCAATTAGACAAATAAGGAAAATGGAGAATAGCTACATGAATTACTTCATAAAGACACTGAAAGATAAATAATACTAAAATAATTAGTTGGTAGCATCAAGGAGTACAAGTGATCAAAGCAAGTATCAGTCTCTTAAAGGTCTACTTTGTGAGTAGTTGATGGTCATGAGATGTTCAACAGTCTATCTGTGGAGTTGTGGACTTTTCACCATTATCCCTTCTGAACATGAGGCTGGATAGGCACTTTTCATGATGATTTAAATCAGGGGTCCCCAACCTCCAGTCCACAGCATAGTGCTGGGCAGTAGTTCATTTGGAACCAGGCTGCAGAAGTGGTGGGTGAGCATGAACATGTGCACACATACAAAGCTTCATTTCTGAAAGCGATGCATGCACAAAACTATTCCATCTCCCCACCCCTTGCTGCCACTACCACTATCTCTGCCAATCTGCTAAGCTAGAAAAGTTAGAGGCCACTGGTTTAAATAACAATTCTGCACATTGCAGAGGACTGGAATATATGATCCTTGTGATCTTTTCCAATACTACACTTCTCCATGGTCCTGAGTCTCTGATTTGAAACAAAACTAAGAACGTGCAGGATGCACCTGGTTAAAAGCTATTTGCCACACTATTGCATCTTTGTTAACTGAGATGTATTTTCCTTTCGGAGACTTGGGATCAAGCTTTCCAACTTTCAGTGACTTCAAAGTATGATTGGGGAAGGTGAGCAGGTTGGTGATATCAAATTGGCTGTCCACTTCCCTTTCCGCATTGAAGGACACAGTTTCTCCTGCTGAGTTGTTAAAGGAAATGCCTTGAAGAAAAAAGTGGAGCTGATGGAAAAGAAGATAGATTGATAGATAGATAGAAAGGTAGGCAGATACATTTGTATGAAACACTCAGGGATCCATATAAATTACCCAAAAATATTAAGGTTAAAAAAATTGCACAAGTAATATCTCCAAGTATATTCTATATACTTTATTTACTTCTGCTCAAACCTGATAATATTTAGTTCCATTGCTAATAATAGAGATATTTGGGGGGGAGAAATGGCTTTATATGTTTTTCTTATATGAATAATTCATTTTTAGATGACTGCTCCTGAAGAATGATGGACTATCACTCACATTAAAATAAAATTTCTAAATAAATTCCTGCCTTTCTATTATTAGGAAGTGCGTGAATACAGAGTTCATAATTCAAAACATTTTCCCCTAAATAAATGCCATTATTACATGGAATGATGATCTCATCCAGGACTAGCCTCTGATCCATATCCACAGAGCCAGTTTAACCCAATATATTCTGAATTATTCATTCATTCCATTCATTTTTTATTAATTATTCATTCATTCCAGTTATGTTCTGAATTATTTATCCCTTTTAAAACAAGTTAATCCCCTCCACTGCAATGAACTGAAAACTGCTTGAAGTTAGTCATACTAGCTGGCTAGTCTAAAGAAAAGAAGAAATAGGGGTGACATGATAGCAGTATTCCAGTATTTGAGAGGTTACCACAAAGAAGAGGAAGTCAAATTATTCTCCAAAGCACCAGAGGGCAGGACAAGAAACAATGGTTGGAAACTGATCAAAGAGAGAAGCAACCTGGAATTAAGGAAAAAACTTCCTAACAGTGAGGACAATTAACTTGTGGAACAGCTTGTCACCAGAAATCGTGGGTGCTCCTTCACTGGAGGTTTTTAAGAAGAGACTGGGCAGTCACTTGTCTGAAATGGTATAGGTTCTCCTGCTTGAGCGGGAGGCTGGACTAGAAGACCTCCAAGGTCCCTTCCAGTTCTATTCTATTCTATTCTATTCTATTCTATTCTATTCTATTCTATTCCATTCCATTCCATTCCATTCCATTCCATTCCATTCCATTCCATTCCATTCCATTCCCTTCCCTTCCCTTCCCTTCCCTTCCATTCCATTCCATTCCATTCCATTCTATTCTATTCTATTCTATTCTATTCTATTCTATTCTATTCTTAGTTCCGGTGGCTTGGTGGAACTTCATTTCAATATGAAAGGTGTTGGGAGGGAGTTCCCTTCAATACATTCCCAGCTTTTTGTATGTTTGTGGTTGGTTGAATCCCTTGGGAGAAAAATTCTGAAATAGTGGATATTGCAGTAGGCAACTGTGGGGCCTGATTATTACTAAGGTCCCATCCAACTTCCATGAACCTTTTCCCACTGATTTTCCTCTTCCCCCCTCCAGAAACTTTTACTTTTCTATGGAGATTCCCAGTCATCCAAGTTATCCCAAAGATACTTTTTTTCTCGAGGCAACTGGACTTTCTTGTTTTTCCTTTGAAGATATTTCACTTCTCATCCAAGAAGCTTCTTCAGCTCTGAAGAAGTTTCTTGGATAAGAAGCAAAACGTCTTCAAAGGAAAGCAAGAAAGTCCAGTTGCCTTGAGAAAAACAAACAAACATGTTTTACTTTTCTATTTTTCATCCTTGAAGTAAAAACAAATGTATTAATAACATTAATCTTATTATATAATGGATAGCTTGAAAATGTATATTGAAACAATACCTGCCATGGCTGAAGTCTTTTGTCACCCAGTGTTCTTCTGGGAATGGCTTGAGACAAGGCTGCAGAATGTAAAGCATGGGCCACTGCCTGGACTGCATTGTAGATGCTGTAACTCTGCCCACTCATGGCCATTTCAAATGTTAATGACGGAAGGAATTCCATGCTTTCCTCCCCTGTACATGTATATGTTAACGGAGGTTGTGAATCTGAAAATTTACATTTAAACATTTTTTCCCAGAAAACTTTCAGAATCCTGTCTTGTGGACTTTGGCCAGGTTTGAGATGCTGGAGAAAATTTTCTTTCTCAAATATAAATTTTTATTATTTTCATCATAAAAAAGAACACATCACAAATACATCACAATGTAAAAACCCTACCCCCCACCCCCCACCCCCGGACTTCCCAAACCTAATCCCAGGATACTATTCAACTAAAAGTAAACTAGTATTAATATCCCTAACTCCACAAAATGTTATTCTACATAAGTAGGTGAAATATATAAAAAAAATTATCTAAAAACCTAAATTATATTCCACGATTCTATGCTTATTTTGAATATAAACAATCCATCTTCTCCATATTGATAAAAATTGTTCATTTGAGTGATCCTTCAGATAAGCCGAAATTTTTGCCATTTCAGCAAGATGTGAAACCTTCAATCTCCAGTCCTCCATTGTAGGTAAAACTTTACTCTTCCAATTTTGAGCTATCAACAAACGGGCAGCAGTTAAACAAT